TAATTGGAATGGGAGTGTCAGAGTGCGATTGGCACAGGACAGAGCGGAGTTTAGGGCTGTTGTACATGGCTATGAGTCGCAAGTGACTCAACGGCACATAACAACAACAACAACAACAACAACATTATTACCCCATCCCTTGAGTTCCCATTGCATTTTTCCTATTCCTTCACTCTCCCTCATCTGCCTATTAAACTCTGCTATCTAGTGATTTCCACCCTTTTCTTTTCCTTCCCCTTTCCCTTTCTCCTCTTTCTCTTTTTGGCCATTTGTACACATCTTACTAGTTGTCCTTCAATTTTTTTTCAATTAATTTTAATGAATATTTACAGAGACTTTGGATTTCCATTAATTCATTGTTTCACTTTTCTCCCTGCCCACCCCTCCCTCCTCAGTACACTCTTCTTTTTGAAAAGTAAAAGAAAAGTTCCCCCATTGTTTTACAATTCTTCCCCTCAGGTCCACTCCATTATGCAGCCTTCATTCTCGACTCCTGTCATGACAATAATACCTAATCACATATCCCTTTTAAACAGTTTTCTCCTTCATCTGTTTCAATGCAGTATGCATAATATCCTTCTATTTTTACAATAATGGTATTATGTAGTATTTTTCCTATGAGACTGAATTGGTTCACTTGGCATAATGCTCTCTAGAGCATCTCCCATGTTAGATAGTGTTTTACAAAATCATCAGTCCTTAATACTGCATAGTATTCCATTGTGTGAATGTACTATAATTTCTCAATGCAGTTGTTCATTTATGAGCATTTGGGCTGTTTCTGTTTTCTTACTAATGTGAATAATGTTACTGTCAACATAGCTGTACGTATCTCCATGTCTCAGTTCTAATTTCCTTAGGTATTTTCCTAGTTGGGTCATATGGACTTTCTTATGTTCAACTTTCTGAAGAAACACCAAACTGCTTCCAGAGTGGTTGCACCATTTTACAATCCCACCAACAGTGTATGTAAGTTCCAGTTTCTCCACAGCCTTGTTAACAGTTATTGCTTGGTGTACTGTTAAACTTTGCCACTGCTACTGGGATGATTGCCAGTAATTTTGAGCATTTCTTCATGTGTCTGTTGGCCATCCAACATCATCTTTGTGAAAAGTCTTTTGATGTCTTTTGCACATCATGTTATTGGGTTATCAGCCTTTTTCTTGTGAAGGCCCTATTGTATTACATTGGGAAAGTATGCAGTTAGTGCAGTTTCTGTATTGTTGAGGAGTAGTGATGTCAGTTTAAGGACTAAGATGCAATGGTCTTTTCAGTCACTTGCTGTGCATTTATTTGAGAGCTGGACAGTGAATAATTATGATAGAAGAATTCATGCCTTTGAGCTATGATGTTGGAGAATAGCACTCAGTATCTATCTCATGGACTGAAAAAAGGAAGAAATGTGTCTTAGAGAAAGTTCAGCAAGAGTACTACCTAGAGGCAAAAATGATAAAGCTTCATCTCATATACTTTGTGCATGTTGCTAGCAGAGGCTGTTCCTTGGAGATGGCCTTCATGCTTGGAGAGATGAAGGGTCAGTGAAAGGGAGGAAAACCCTCAATCAGATAGATTGATATGATGACTGTTGCAGTGGATTTAAGTGTGTCACAGATAGTGGGATATATGAACTTTATGAACTTTGTATGTAAACCAGTATGTTGTTGTTGTTATGTGCCGTCGAGTCGTTTCCAACTCATAGCGACCCTATGCACAACAGCCCTAAACCCTGCTCTATCCTGCGCCAACCGCACCGCCTCTGACACACCCAGGCCGATTACCCCAGTCACCGAATCAATCCATCTCATAGAGGGTCTTCCCCTCCTGCGCTGTCCCTCCACCCTCCCAAGCATGATGTCCCTCTCCAAGGACCCGTCCCTCCTGTATAAAATAATAAAAAAAATAGACTGCACAGTGTAGGACGGGGTTCAGATCTGTTGTTCATAGGGTCCTATGGTTTGTGCTTACCTCAGTGGCACCTAATAACAACAGCAAATTTATGCCATATGCTAGGCCTTCTAAGTTTGGTCTCATTTTGTCTCTTATGTTCCTTTTGATTTGGGACTTTACTCCTAGGTCTCTGATCTACTTGAATTGATTTGTATGTGTTGTGAGAGATGTCGATCCTGTTTCAGTTTTCTTTGTCAAATACCAGTTGACCCTAGGTAGATGGGTTAATTTCTGGATTCTTAATTCTGTTTCATTGTTCTGTGTCTGTCATTATACCAATACTGTGCTGTTTTGCTTACTATAGCTTTGTAGTAGGTTTTGAGTTCAGGGAGTGTTATGCCACCCACTTCATTTTTATTTTTAAGAAGAATTTGCCTTTTTTTGGGCTCTTTTTCCTTTCCAAATAAACTTGCCGGTTGCCTTTTCTATCTCTTTGAAAATTGAGTTTGATATCGTTTTTGGGATTGTGTTGAGCCTGTAGATTGCTTTTGGTAGGATCGTCATTTTCACTTGTTGAGTCATCTTATCCATGAATAGAGAATATTTTTTCATTTAATAAGTCTAACATGATTTTTATAGATACATTTTATATGAAGATAGCTTCTTTTTTTCTAGTTTTCTGACATATCATATTTTACCAAGTGCCATATTTTGTCTCTGTTAAGATGATCGTATCATTTTCTCCTTTCTTTTTTCCAATGTGATAAGTTACATTGATGAGCATTCTGGTGACTCAGCTGGGAAGGAGTTGTGCTCCTAAACCAAAGACAAGCAGTTTGAAACCACAAGCTCTTTCTTGGGAGCAGATGGATAGTCTCCTCTTGTGGGATTTATGGCCCCTGAAAATTGATTAAAGGGTTAACAATGAATTGGTTCTAATTCAACAGCACATAATAACAAAT